TTTGGTGAATAATTTTATATTTAAATATGAACGAAAATATAATTATTAAATTAACTTTTGAATTGTATTCTTTCTTTGTTCAAATGCCCGGAGGTCAAAGCTGCCAGCCCAAAATTATAAGTAAAAGATAAGGTGTAACACTTTAGTAAACAAAGGTTGGTGTGGTTTGGTGGTTTAGTTTTGTTTGTTATGTTTAGAGGTTTTGGGTTCTATCCTTCCTGGTAGCATCTTTAACCTATTTTATACAATCATTGTCTTTGTTCTCAGAGACAACACAGAAGCAAACTGGTTATATCCTAGATGTTACGCTTAAATATATAAGTGTTGGTGTAGCTTGGTGGGTTTAGAGTTTATTATGTTAGAGGTCTCAGGTTCTATTTTTCCTGCGGGCATCCTAACACAGAAGCAACCCAGTTATATACCAGATGTTGCACATTCATACATAAGATGTTAACATCTTTTTTTATATTTTAAAGACAACGGTTAAATAAAACCGTTGTCTTAAACAATAAAGAACGCGCAACGACAACGGTTTTAAAAAACCGTTGTCTTTGTAGTGTTGTGTATTCTAGTGCGCTTAAAGACAACACACCAACAACAACGGTAAAAAAAACCGTTGTCCTTTAAATAAAAAAGAGCGTGCAAAGACAACGGTTTTTAAAAACCGTTGTCTTTGTAGTGTTGTGTATTCGAGTACACTTAAAGACAACACACCAATGACAATGGTTAAATAAAACCGTTGTCTTTTTAAAAAAAGAGCGCACAAAGACAACGGTTTTAAAAAACCGTTGTCTTTCTAGTGTTGTGTATTCCAGTGCGCTTAAAGACAACACACCAACGACAACGGTTAAAAAAACCGTTGTCTTTTAAAAAAAAAAAACGCACATAGACAACGGTTTAAAAAACCGTTGTCGTTGTGGTGTTGTCTTTTCACAAAATGCACAAGACAACACACTTACAACAACGGTTAAGTAAAAACCGTTGTCTTTGACAAAAGTGTTGCATCAAAGACAACGGTTTTGGACCAAACTGTTGTCTTTTATACAAAAGACAACACTTTTCTTAAAAACTGTTGTCTTTCTAGTGTTGTCTATGTGCATTTTTCTTGTAGTGTGCTCAAAGTCTTCAGACACACCATCCACCACAACACAGTCTTCATCATCACTCACAAACACCTGCAAGTTGAAAAAAACATCCTTAACAATTAGGTACTAAATGTTTGTAAATTACAAATAAATTCAGCTTCTATTTCAGATATGTACCTCACAGCTTTTTCCCAACATCCAAAGAACCACCTATCTCAGTTGACACCATCTCAGATTGGCTGCAACCTAACAAACCTGAGCAGTGCTGTGTAAGCACTGCCTCATCCCTACAAAGACTGAGCACAGTGAACGCAGAGAAATAATTATCTACTTGGTCCTTCTTCATAGCTATGCGGAATAGCATAGACATCCCACGTAAACGTCCTAGCTCCGGTGGAATAGAGTTATTACCCTAGGAAAATTAAAGTAGACCTAACGTGTAAAGATTTTAGCATAAAAAATCAACTAAGAAGATTTTAATAAAAAATTACATACCCCAGATAGCTATCCTTTAAATCACCAGCTACCATACCAACCAATTCAGCACATTCACGATCCCATATAAGCATAGGAGCATCTCCAGTATCATCCGCAACACGAACTATCAGTCTATACCTCACAACTCCTTCTTGCCAATAGTTCTTACACCCAGCACAATAGAGCATTCCACCACTTTCAGAGAGCTTTTTCTTGCAAGAATTAGTCTTGCAAGAAATATAGTACCAATCACATAGACTCTCAACACCAACAATTCGACCGGCTACCCAATACTCCCCAACTGGTCAGGAAAACACAATAAACCTATAGTTACTCGAAGGCATATATGTTAAACTAAAAAATTGTTAAAATCTTCCATCTACAGTTACCTATTTTATAGTTTACGTAACTATAACCAAACATAAATAGATTATATAAGGATAAAATCATAGGTTATAACATTTGAACTCTAGATCTTTACCATCAAGCCATTTTCTTATTCTTATTTCTTATCATAACAATATGAAATCTGCAAGTACTATCTTATTATTCTTTCTTATTCCTTTAATGCAGGCAGTCAGTAGACTACAACCTGTCTCTGGATTTGTTTTTTTTTTTAAGTTTTTTTTTTAGGTTTTAAATGCATTACATTTGTTTGCAGAAAATAATTCAAACAAATAGAATTCATAAAAGTTTAATAGATATATGTTTTCACATGTAAAGCAGAAATCTATATATATTGTGGAAGCAGAAATAGAAATCTAATAACCAAATAATTTATGAAATAGAAATAGAAACAGAAACATAGTTCATTTTACATGAGTACACTGACCTAGAAACATAAATAGAATTATAAATAGAAACAGAAACATAAATCATAGAAATAGAAACAGAAACATAAACATAGAAACAGAAACATAATTTATGCAATATATAATAACCTAATTTTACAGTTTAGATAAATACATAGACACAAAAATAGATTATAACGATAAAACCAAAGATTACATGTTTTTGCTGTAAATCTCCTCAATAGAACTGACCACCACTTGCTTAGAAGGACCACCACCAGTAGGAAAACCAACACCAAGCATAGATGAGGAATCAATACACCTCAATGGGGTAGAGTCAGCTGTGAAGCTACTAAAAGAACACAACAACAGAACATTTAGTGATTAATTAAAAAACAAAGATAAAATTTGGAAAGATTTTATAGGTACACTGACCTGCTCTTCAGTGCAACAAACTCCTTACAGGGGTGAGAGAAAAACAACTGAGTTGCATCAAAAGAGCTACAAATGCGCACTTCACCATCTGGCAAACATAAAAGATTAAATAAGTAAAGGAATTATGTGTGCAATAAAGAGCTAGTGTAACTTACTGTCCATAAACTTTGCCCTGCAGAGTTGGATCAAAAGTACCACTGGATCAGCAACATTTGTATTGAAATAAGGAATAAGTTGATCCACATGGTCATCCCAAAGTGTGCACTTAATCTAATTTTTACTGCACACATAATTGGAAAACATATATTTAGCTTGTAATATAGCTGTAAGTTCTTGTAATATATAGAACCAAAATAGAGAAACAAAAATTACCTCATATCTTCAAGCACAAAGTCTATGAGCCTAGTTTTTCTGCCACATATTACCTTCTCTAGTGGGGAATAAATCTCAACAATTCGACCAATCACATCTAAAAACATAGGACTACGTTAATAACACAGTATGTCAAACTTTTGTTTGATTATTTTAAACAAACAATTTCAAGAGTAAAGTTTTGATTATCAAACCCTTACCCATCAACACTTTCTCATCAACATCTTGTTTTGAAAGTATGGCAGGGAAAGTCTTGAACCGAAACAGAGTTTTAGGGAAAGTGATACGCTTATAGTGCTTCACAATGGTGTCATGCTTAAACTTGATCATATAACGCAAAGTGCTTGTTTTGTATTTGAAAAAGTTAGTAATACAAAGGAAATTCCTAATCCCATAAACATTCCCCTCCTTGAATTCATTCTTGTATTTGCAAACAATGTCCTTAGGTATGTGTACGTGGATAAACACACCCTACATTTCAAAACAACCCAAACCACATAGTTAGAACAACCTAGAAACAGTTAAAGAGGAGAGAAAAAAAATTGAAGTAGCTAATGTAGGAATAACACACCTCTTGATCATGAAATACACATTCTTGACTTCTTATGTTGTTTTCTCCCTTTCTTTCAGTGACAACATAGTTCCTTACACAACGGAGCCTAATAGCCTTGGTAGTTAGCTGTGGATGGAGGTTTGCACCAACAATGAATTGGCCCTGGCCAGACATCCTGTAGAGTTGCTTACTGGAATTACAATCGCTTTAGTGGGCGGGATCGCTTACTGGAACTTGAATTCTATTTCGTTTTCCTTTACTCTTCGATTGGTGGTAGAACATGTCTCAATCTGTATGTATATATAGCCGCAGAGATGATAACCTTTACATATTATTATATTAAAAAATGTATAGACATCACAGTCATCCCATACCCCTAAAGACTTAGAAGACACGCAAACTATCAAGAGACCATATATCTACAAACTCTAGAATAGGCCAACATCCTAAATATTAGCCTACAATCACACGTAAATCTAATATTTTGATTTGGAATACAAATTTAAGTTGAAAACAGGCGGGACATTAGCTAGATTTGAGGAAAAATAAAATAAAAAAATTTGACCTCTAAAATGGTGTAGTTTTTAGTGGGCGGGAAAATGGAGCCATTTGATTGGCTGAAATCTTGTTGCTTTTATATATATATAGATATAGATTATTATTATTATTATTATTATTATTGTTATTATTATTATTGTTATTATTATTATTATTATTATTATTATTGTTATTGTTATTATTATTATTATTATTATTATTATTATTATTATTATTATTATTATTATTATTATTATTGATGGGGTGAGGACCCCGGCCCAAGGTATAGGGCCCAAAGAAAATAGATAGGAGAAGTGGGCCAGCGTCGAGAGGAGCCCGAAGAGCAATTGGGCCGAGTCGGGAGTCGGCCCAGGCCAAGCATGGGGCCCAGTTCCGAGCTGCCAAGAGGAGTCCAGTAGGAGCTTAGGCCGAGACAAGAGTCGACGGCCAAGCCCAGGAAAGGACTCGGCTCAAGGAGCCGTTGAGAGCATTGAAGAGGCTCGTTTAAAAAGGGAGCCGTTGAGACATTGAAAGCCGGACACGGTCAGGCCGTTACAAGCCTGGAGAGCCGTTGGTCGACCAAGTAATGGCGTCCAACGGCTCCGTATCTTAATTAGCCATTAAGTCGGCCATCAAAGGCCTTCAAGTCGGTAGAGGAGGAGCCACTATATAAAGGCTCCTCCATTCTTGTAAAAGGGGGGACGATTGAACACCCAAAGGGGAGAATACCAAAAAGATTCGAGTACTAGCATAATCTCCGAAATAGACATACATTTCATTGAAAGGTGCACCCACCAGCCAAAGGTTGTGTTGGACCGCCTTGGGCCCGAAAACCCTAAAACCATCACTGGCACCATCTGTGGGGATCGAAACTAAGAGTCACGTGTCCTCTTGAGTGAGGCGAGTCCGAGGAACAACGATTAGAATCCCAGTCGAATTAGAAAAGTTCCAGACATGGCAGGAAGTGAAGAACAATCGAGCCGTCATGACAATGGACGGGAAGCAGACCTGAGAAGCCAGCTGAATCGGAGAAATGCCCGGAGCCGGGAAAACGAGACAACACCGCCGCCGACACCACCGATAAACCAACAATTGCCCCAAGTGCTGCTCACCCCAGAGCAGCTGCGTGCAATCGGACGCGCTTGTGCCGAAGCAAGCCTAGGAGTGAGAGAACAGTCCATCACTCGCCAGCCGCAACGCGAGTTATAGCCGCTTCATAGGCCCGACAACCGCAACAGAGCCGACGAGCCGAAAGCCAACCGGTACAGTCCGTTCATTCTCGGCTGGGTCCCAGCGTTGGGCGTCGGTCGGCAAGAGAACGATTGGGTCGGATGGAACCCAGTCATGCCTCGTTAGCCGCTCGTCATCGACAAGCTGCACGAGAGAAGAACCGTACCAAAAGAGCCAGGACTGAGACTCGTCGCGTGGAGCAACCTCCACGCAACCCCGACCAACCGGTTGAGTCTGAAATTGGCGAGAGCACGGAATCCACAGGAAATCGCACCCGGGAGAGGGTCGAAATGGCGAACTTAGTGCAAGAAGTGCGAAATCTGAAAGAACAGATGGAGGGGAAAACCAAGTCCCCAGGACGTACGTTACTGACCGCCTTACCCTTCTCGGATGAGGTTATGGCTTTTAAAGTACCGGGTGATTTCAAGTTCCCGGAGCAGGCCACGTTCGATAGAACCGGCGATCTCCGGGAGCATTTGCTGAGCTACCAGGCTAAGATGCAGGTTTTGGGGGTATGAGATCCGGTCATGTGCCGCGCCTTCTTGCCCACGTTGAAAGGGTCAGCACAAAGGTGGCTAGTGGCACAGCCCTCGGGATCGATTCACAACTTTGAAGAGCTGGTAGACCGCTTCATGAGCCATTACGCCGCTAATATCAAGCCACAAAAGGACCTAACACACTTGGGTGACATTCGTCAAGACGAAGGCGAGTCGTTGAAAACCTATCTGGCCCGCTGGCAGAAAGAAATCCAGTCCATAGAAGAGGTCGAGGACCAGACGGCGCTCACCTTCTTTATCGAGTCGCTGCGGTCCGGCCAGCTGTACCGAGACCTGAGGGACAATCGTCCGGCCACCTACGCAGAGGCCATTCATATGGCCAACAAGAGGGCCAACACAGAGCAGGCTATGAAGTACAAGCGACAGCGCGAAGTCGGCGGATCCGCCAGCGGGAAGAGGACGCGAGCGGAAACCAAAGAAAGGCGTCCGGACGTGACTCGGCGACCCGAGGTCAGACGGCCATACGACAGACCCGTCGTCCACGCTTATCGGCCGATTCCCGAACGTCCGGTCCATGAGATACAAACCGTCGCCCCGCCTCTGCCTCCGCCGACCGACGATCGCCCGACGAACGAAGAAATGGGTAAGACCTCTAAGTATTGTCGTTATCATAAAACTTATACTCACAGCACGGAGGAATGCTTCTACCTGAAGAAGATCATGGAGGGTATCATTCAGCAAGGGACCCCGCCTCCTAATCAGTGGAGGCGAAGATCGGTCAATCGAGGGGATGAGGATCCCGCCGCCGTTGCCGAAAATAGTCGAGGCAAGCAGTCGACTCCCGAGGAGGAGGAGGTTCAGTGGCGTCAGAAGCCGGTTATCAACATGATAGTCGGCGGGCCGGAAGGTGGTGACTCAACAAACACCCGAAAAGCCTGGGCCCGCCAGTTATACGTTGGAACGGTGTACAGGCGCGAGGAGAACCCTAAAAAGGTGTGCCGAGAGCCCATTGTGTTTACCGACCGAGATTTACCAGCCGGTGAAACACCGCATCGAGATGCGCTGGTTATAGCTATGGACATCAATGGCGTTGTCGTCCGACGAATCCTGGTGGACACCGGAAGCAGCGTCAATGTGCTGTACCTAGAAACCTTCATCAAAATGGGAATGACTCAGGAACAGCTGAGTCCTGTCAAAACTCCCCTCGCCGGTTTCACAGGGGACTCGGTGGAGGCGGAAGGATCGATCACACTTCCAGTTGAGATCGGCAGTTACCCAAACGTACAGAGACTCAGCATGAAGTTCATTGTGGTGAATCTGGCCTGTTCACATAACGCTATACTCGGCCGACCGGGTCTCGAGGATTTGGGAGCGTTGATTTCAATTGAGCATCTTTGCTTAAAATTCCGCACGCCAAACGGAATAGGCACGGTGCGCTGTGACCGTAAGGTCGCTCGCGACTGCTACCTACAGGCATGTAAGGGGATGGGCAAGCGCGAGATACAGGTCCATGAGATCACCGAGAGGCCCCCAAAAAGGACAATAATACCACGTCCGGAGCCTGCCGTCGAGTTGGAAGAAGTCGAGATCGACTCCACGCAGCCGGACCAACGAGTCCGAATTGGAGTCGGCCTCCCCGAGGAAGTAAAGGAAGAAATTATAAAGGTGCTCCGGGAACACCGGATGGTCTTCGCCTGGTGCCCGGAGGACATGCCAGGCGTCGACCGATCGATCATATCGCACAGACTCGCTGTGGATCCCGGGCATCGACCGGTTGTGCCGAAGAAGCGATACCTGGCCAACGACCGAAGAGAATTTGTGAAGAAGGAAGTGAGCACGCTACTCGCAGCCGGACACGTCCGCGAAGTTAAGTACCCAGAGTGGTTGGCGAATGTGGTCCTTGTACCCAAGCCCCCGGCGTGGCGGATGTGCGTGGACTATACCGACCTTAATAAGGCCTGCCCAAAAGATCCGTTTCCCTTACCGCGGATCGATCAACTGGTCGACGAGACGGCGGGGTCAGCGCTGTTGAGCTTTATGGACGCCTTTAGGGGGTATCATCAGATATTCATGCACTCGGCGGACGAAGAAAAGACCGCGTTTCTGACACCGGACGGAGTTTATTGTTACCGAGTCATGCCGTTTGGGCTCAAGAATGCCGGAGCCACGTATACCCGAATGGTGGCCCGATTGTTTCAGCACCTGCTGGGAAAATCGATGGCCGCGTACGTCGACGACATGCTCGTCAAGAGCCGAGAGGAGAGCAAACACGCAGAGGACTTGGCCGACTGCTTCAAGGTAATGTTAAGGTACAACCTCCGGCTGAACCCTAAGAAATGTGCGTTCGCCGTGCAAGGTGGAAAGTTCCTGGGTTACATGGTCACCAAGCGAGGTATTGAGCCTAACCCTGAGAAAGTACAGGCCATCGTCGACATGCAGCCTCCCAGCACTATAAAAGACCTGCAACGGCTGACCGGCCGATTGGCCGCCCTTAGCCACTTCCTAAGCAAGGCGGCAGATAAGACCGTGCCCTTCTTCGAAGCCATGAAGAAGAAAGAAGGATTCGCTTGGACCCCAGAGTGCCAGCAGTCGTTTGAAGAATTGAAACAATACCTCTCGACACCCCCGGTATTGTCTACCCCCCAGGAGGGCGAGCCCTTGTTTCTGTACTTAGCCGCCTCTCGCAAGGCGGTGAGTTCGGTATTGGTCCGAGAAGAAGAGCGAGTCCAGCACCCGGTTTACTACGTAAGCCGGTCTCTGAAGGCTGCCGAGTCAAGGTATACCGCCTTGGAAAAAATTGTATACGCGTTGGTGATTACCGTGCGCAAGTTGGCGCCCTACTTCCAAGCTCACACCGTCCGAGTACTGACAGACCAACCTCTCGGAAGTGTTTTGCGAAACCCATCGTCG